GCACAGGCAGACAAGGCACTGGAGAATTAGCTGAAAGTCCTACATCTTTCAGGCAATAGGAAGTGGTGTGTAACACTGGACAGTATTTTCGGCATATATGAGACCCCAAAGCCCGCCTCCACAGTGACATACTTCCTCCAAACAAGACCACACATATTCCACAAGACCACACCTCCTAATAGTAGCACTCCCTTTAGGGTTCTGCGCCTTTCAAAACTACCACCGGGAGGGAGGAGGGTCAGGAGTTCAAGGTCATCCTTAGCTACTTAGAAAAACAGTCAGTTCAAAGCCCTCTCCCTCCTGTTGGATGAGTGGGTGCTATGCATAGATCCTGGGGAGATGATTCTTGGCTTGGCCTCTATAATTTCAATTACCCATGTAAGGAATGCAGAGCAAAAGAGGAAGAAGCCCCCAGCACTGGGACTGCCAGAGAGGCTGTCATCTCCTTTCCTCCTCCGCATAGGTTCATAAAGTCCCATTTTCTCCTCTCTCTTCTCTCCCTCGCTCCCACCCATCTCAGTAAATACAGCCAGTGTGTGTGTGTGTGTGTGTGTGTGTGTGTGTGTGTGTGTGTGTGTGTATGTGTGTGTGTGTGTGTGTGTGTGTATGATGCATAGGGCATAATGCTGGGCTAAGCCCATCCCTGCCCATCGTTTGCAGACACTCAGCTTTGAAGACCCCAGAGGGTGACGACACCAGTGCTGCGGAAGACACATATGCAATCGCAGGAAGGTGGGCCTGGAAACAGGAGGAATCAGTATTCATGGAGGAGAGGAGAGGAAGGAAGACCGGGGCTGTAGCTCTGTGGCAGTCCTTCGCCAGCATATTGAGACCTGGGTTCTAGCCCCATGCTGCAGTCTCAGCTCTCTGATGGTGCTCTGCTGCCCAAAGGCTTTACTGAAATCACAATGGATGGGTGACTTGTAGCCCACACCTGTCACCAGCATTTTGGAGCCCACAAAGTCACTACTACGGTCACTTGTCTCATAGGCTTGGACAGAACACTATGGTTAGCAGAATTATGTGAAATTCTATACACTAGCCCCCCATCTCCCAAGTCAGATAGGAAGCTGAGAGGGTGGGAGCACAGGAAAGGTCCTATCACCAGTGAACCACTTCCTCTAACCCAGCTCCATCTTCCCCAGTCCCACAGTGGAACTACTCATGTAGGGGCCCCCTCTGGCTCTAATCTGCTCTGAGAACTCCCTCACAGACACCTTTTTTGACTTTCAATGCAGTCAGGGTTCCAGTCACAATGAACGGTCCCAGTTACATATGCGGAAATAACCACACACACTTTCGTGTATCTAGAAAAATTTCTAGCCGTGGGGCACACACAGCAACTCACTGTTGAGGACATCTAAGCAGCAGTTCCCGTGGTTAGCACCCTATGACACTTCTTGGTCTCTAATACCACTCTGAGGGTGCTGCCTGGAGATGTGGTCTGGTTACCTGGGTCAGACCAGGTAATACGAGATGATTCTGGAAGATCTAGGAGGGTCCATGACCTGCCACAATCTGAAGTGACAGAAATTATATGTGTGAACAGTTGGTCCCTGGACGGTGGCACCATCTTGAGAGGTTATGGAATTTTGGGGATACGTGTTAGGAACTTTTCCTAATGCGAGCTCTCTGCCGACGCAAAAATCCCAATAAAGCCAAATCACAACAAGCCAAATTAAGAAATATCCAGGTTTAATGGGATTCCTGCGCTCTCGGGTGGCCCTGAGGGGGAATTGGGAGGCCGCTAACACGACCACCAGGAGGAAGGAAAAGAGACTATGAGGAAACTTTCCAGGGAAGCAGTTTAAATAGACTGAGGGCGTGGTCAAGATTTTGGTGAGCTCGTTTTTTGACCCTCCTCAGGGGAGGGGTCAAGACTTGGTGGGCACAGGGATGGGGCCTCCAAAGATGGAAGCCAGAGACCGAGGCTTACCATAAGCACCCTAGGGTCACTAGGGTGGCATTTGGAGGCTATGCCCACTTCCAATTCTGATCTAAAGGTCTCTGCTTCCTGATCCATGAGGATGTGAAGAGTCACACGCTCACTTGTCTGCATCACTGTGACAAAATACCTGAAGGGGGCGTCTGTCTGGGTCATTGTGAGGAGGGTGCAGCCCACCTTGGTGGGGGAGGCAGCTGTTCACATCACAACTGCAGTCAGGAAGCAGAGAAGTGAACACTGGTGCTCAGTCAAGGAGTTGCCCACCTTCAGAATGCGTCTTCCTATGTGGGTTAACCTAACCTAGAAATGCCCACACAGACATGCTCAAAGATCTGTCTCCTAAGTATTTTAGGTCCCGTCAAGTCGACAGTATCAACCATCACACCACACTACAAGCTCCCACTACTGCAGACAGAACCACCCCAGCTGCCATCTCTCCCCTGCCGTTGTGGGTTGAACCCCCCCCCACCCCGAGACTGGGATTCAAAGTATCACAATAAACACCCTTTGTCCCTGAGGCTGCATCTGTTAGGCATTCTGCAACAGCAACAAGAAAATCAACTAGTAACGCAAAGTATAAAGCACCCACTAATCCACTCTGACAAATAAATTGACAGCAGGGGCCAGGGTAGGGTCGGGGGAAGTTCCAGTGTGGAGGTTTCAATGGCTGGTGAAGACATGATATCTTGAGGAAACACAATGTCCACCCCCTAAGTATGAACCCTGCATAGAACCCCAAGCTGATGGAGGAGGAGTCATTCAGTGAGCACTGACCCTAGCCTCGGTTTCACCCTCTGCAGCCCTTAATGGTTTGATCTTCAGACACCTCTCTGTGAGCTGGATGTGGGGAGCCTGGGCTCGCTCTCCTTCTGGAGTACACTCCACTTCCGTAGAGCCTCATTTTCTCCTAGACTTGAACCTCTGAAGCCACGTGGAAGATCATAGGCGGTGGCTAGGAGGTGCCTGAGACTGTTCTTTAACCAGACAGTAACTTACCCCTCCCGTGTGTGGTGGTGAGTGTGGCTGGGTTTCCAGAAGGCCATGGCTAGCCTTTAGTCCACCTTTGTATAAATAAACTTGAAAATTCAAGTTCTGAGCTATGGAATTAGAGGGAAAAAAAAAAAAGGTAGGTCACGTGTGAGAAACACCCAGGTATAGGGCTGGAATTCACAAGCAAAGCCTCGGCTGGACTCCCATCCTCTGCTCAGTTCCTTGCTTGGAAGCTTTCAGTCCACAAATGCACAGTTGTCCTGGGAACCCCTGGGGAGACAACTCTCAGAACTTGAAGACAGAGTGCAAACCAGAGTCCTTGATAAGGAGGGAGGTGGTTTGGAGGCTTTCCTCATCCCCATATCGGCTTCGTGTCCACATCCCCATCAATCTGCTCACTGCTCCCTTTCAGGCCTCTCTGCATCTTTAGAAATATCTAGAAGCAGCTAACAAGAACATGCCCATCACTCCTCTGCCCACTGGTGTGTCTCCAGAGCCAGGACACCGATGGTCTCTGGCTTCCTAGCCTGTCTCATCCCATGTCACTTTTCCTGTGACCAGATGCCAAGCCTAAAGTCCACAGGGGCCTGGAGGAGGTCACATTCCATCTCGGCCAATTCCCATTGCGGCCTCCCTCACCTGCTGGGCCTCCCTCTGCTTCTTGCCCAACTGCCTTTCAGCTTCCTCTGCAGGCTGGACAGCAGCCGAGGTGAAATCAACACAAGAGGAAGTGAACTTCTCCTGGACACAGGGGCAGCAGCATTGCCCACAGTCACCTCCTGTCAGGTAATGTGCAAAAGATGACCTGCACCCATGTAGCCCATGTGGCTACCTAAGGGGCTCCAGTGTTCTCACCGGAGCTGACTCTTCCTGCATCTCTGAGACCCTCTGGAATCATTGGTCAGTGCCCCGCTGGGGCTTTCACTAACTTTCATAAGGTCAAGTTCCCTCAGCAAATATCCTCTGGGCAGTCTGAAGATGTGTGCTTTTTTTCACAGTTCCAATTTTGCATGGCTGTTTCCCTGCTTGCCTGGCCTTGGATTATCTGTCGGGGCCTCGCCTGGAAGCAGGTGTGTGTGGCAAGCACTCACTGTGAATGAATGACTGAATGCTCACGGAGGTGCTCCCCTCAGTCACTTCAGCAACTGCTGATGCCAAGACCCTGCTCCCCCTCTTATGCCCATATTTGGACATGGTACAGGTCCTCACTGGCCATGGTCTGTGAGGTCCTGGCCTTTTTTGACTTCACAATCCCCAGGGGCCCCTTGCGTCTATAAGAGGAAGAGGGTGCAGGCTCGCCAGCCACAGCCCGCAAAATTCCACCTGCTCACAGGTTGGCTGGCTCGATCCAGGTGGTGCCCCCTGCTCTGAGCCAGCTCCCGGCCAAGCCAGCATCATGGCCAGATACCGCTGCCGCAGCAAAAGCAGGAGCAGATGCCGCCGTCGCAGGCGGAGATGTCGCAGACGGAGGAGATGCTGCCGGAGGAGGAGGCGAAGTGAGTAGGGAGCTGGGTTTGGCTGGGCTGGGTTCAGGCGGTCCAGGGACTGGGCAGAGCTTGAGATTCCCCCCTCACTTACCTTGTCTCTCTAGGGTGCTACCGCCGCCGCCGCTCATACACCATGAGGTGTAAAAGATACTAGATGCACAAAATAGCAAGTCCATCAAAACTCCTGCCTGAGAATTTTACCAGACTTCAAGAGCCTCTCGCCACATCTTGAAAAATGCCACCATCCAATGAAAAACAGGAGCCTGCTAAGGAACAATGCCACCTGTCAATAAATGTTGAAAACTCATCCCACTCATGCCTCTTAGTTCTTGGGCTCTACGAAGGGTGGGTGAATGTGGCTAAGGGGGTCTTTGGTCAAGTGGGAGAGGTTTCAAACCTGTCAACAGCCAATTCTCAACATCTACCCCCAGCCACCTCTACAGATCCCTCCCCAGAAGGGCTTCTGAGGGCCTCACCGTGGATAGCAGACATGAGGGCCACCTAACCTGGGAGGTCTTGGGCCCCAGTCACACAAAGACTGTTGGAAAGTCGAGGGCCCTCAAGACGAACATCAAATATGAAGGCCAGTTGAGTTTCCAGAGTTAGATCTAACTGGTCAGAAACTGGGGAACAAGAAATCCCAATGGATCTGTGTGATAGGCCATCAAGACTCGCTAACCAGAAATGCCCATCACCGATCCCTTCTTGGGTAAGCCCATGAGGGCCTGAGCAGTTAGGCTTGGTCTTCTCTTGATCTCAATCCTTGGGACTGATTTGTGTGTGAATGCAGAGTTCAGATGACCCTGGCTGGAACATGTGTCTGCAAGGCAGCAGGAGCCTGCACAGGGGCCGTGAGCCAAGCCTGTGCTCAGCTGAACCTTCTAGGCCACCAGGGGACCCTCTGTACACTTCAGATGGCCTGTTGAATATCCTTTGTGCCTGGTTTTCGGTGTTGGTGACCCAAGATCTTATGTATGCTAGATATACTCTGCCACTCTCATTGGCAAAATCTAGATCTTGAAGCCCTCTGTTTATGGTGAAATTCAGCCAATATTCCATGATGGTTAAGATCAAGGTACCAAAACCACCATGTTGGAGATAAAAAGTACAACCCCCCCCCCGTAAGTTTCACTACACAAGTTTAATTTTTTTGCTGTTAGGTCCTTGCACATGCTAAGCACACTATGTCTCAAGTCCTAGTATGTCCTATGGTTAAACGTCAATTATGAGAGAAATCAAGGATAGCCTGGGCTAAAATGAGACTAAAGAACTGTTTCAAGTATGCCTCAGGAGAAGAGGCCCTGAGGGGTCAGGTGTGGTGGCTCACATCTTTAATCCTAGCACATGGGGCAAGAGACAGGCAGACCTGGCTAGCCTGGTCTCCAGAGCAAGTCCCAGGACAGCCAGGGTTACACAAACCAAAACAATGATAGGATTCCAGCATTGGAGGGAAACACAGCCTTGACTCTGTCTGGCTCAGCCATGACCTTGATCAACACAAACTTTTTGTGCCTCAGTTTCCCCCATGGAAGATACATGAGAATATGTCTGGCACTTGTTTGGACGTTTTAGTAGTTCAGTGTGTCCTTAGTGTACATGGAGAAGGTGGGAAGCTTTTTCCACTGCCTGGCAGTGTGAGGACAGAGGCTGGGGCTGGGGCTGGGGCTGCAGGTGATTTAGTTGGTAGAGTGCTTGCCTGCCATGGTACTGCAACAATGGCACAGACCACGCAACAAGGCAACAGACCAGGATAGAGAAGTTGAAGCCCTGTCTCATACTAAAGCTACAACGGCTCTAAGGCAAGGCGAGTAACTTGGCCCCCTTCTCCCAACCTGCGAGCCAGTGCTGCAAACCCTGCCTGTGTTGCCCTCACAGAGGGGACTGGGCAGGGTGGGAACAATCAGGGGTGGGCCGCCAGGTCACAGTGGGGTTCCCCTTTATATATGACCCCCAGAGAGCTCCCCACACCAGACCATCATCACCACCAAGAGCAGGTGGGGAGGCTTCCGTCCTCCTCCTCCTATCCAGTCAGCTGCAGCCTCAGCCCGGAACCTCCTGATCTCCTGGCACTATGGTTCGCTACCGAATAAGGAGCCCCAGTGAGCATCCACACCAGGGGCCTGGGCAAGACGATGGACATAAAGACCAGGGGCAGAGGCAAGGGCTGAGCCCAGAGCGTGTGGAGGACTATGGGAGGACACATAGGGGTCACCACCATCACAGACGGCGCTGCTCGCGTAGGAAGTTGTACCGGATCCACAGGAGACGCCGGTCATGCAGGAGGCGGAGACGTTCCTGCCGCCACAGGAGGCGGCATCGTAGAGGTAAGCACCCAAGAACCCCAGAACCTTGACCACCTGTGCTGCTGCCCAGCAAGGCAGGAATGCTCCCCATCCAAACCCTGCTGCCTCCCAGGTAGCCTAGCAAACCAGAACTTTCCTTCCCAAAGGCGGCAGAAGATGCCGAAGGAGGAGGAGATGTAGGTGCAGAAAGTGTAGGAGGTACCGCTACTAAAGCCTCGCCAGGCCCATCCATCCTGCCTGGAGCCAAGGAAGTCGTCTGCCCAAGGAATAGCCACCTGCCCGAGCAACGTCACGCGAGGTCACACCACCGTTCAATGTTGATGTCTGAACCCTGAGCTGCCAAGAAGCCACGAGATCTGAGTAATGAGCAAAGCCACCTGCCAAATAAAGCTTGACACAAGACTCGCTGGCTGCTGTCTCCTTTTCACGAGCGTCATGGACCCGAGGGGAGGGAGTAGGGACCATTTCTAGTTATTGTCAGGGAGGAACCTGAGCCTTGCAAGGATGGTGAAAAGCTAATTTCCCCCAAAGAGGAATTCTACCTCTGGACCCGGGAAGCGAACGAGTTTGGGACTGGACTGGGAGAGGTCCTGGAAGTAAGGCCATCTTCCCACCGTAAACTAGGCACACTTGAGTTTCTAGACGCAGTAGGTTTGCCTGACATAACTCCTGTCCAATTGGCCCTCCCAGCTCATAGTGGCCAGTGCAGCTTCAAGTTCCAGGGTGGGGGAGGGTCCAGAGGGTGGTGCCTTGGAACCTGTTTGTGACGTCAGCGCCACGCCCACTAGCCTCACACCCTCTCACCGCCCAAGCTGCCTCCCTCCTAGTCCAGAGAGACAGGAGTGGGTGATGGGTTCCCGCTGTGCCAAGCTCAGCACTGGCCATGGCACGGCCCAGAACACAGGTCACAGCCGTGGCCACGAGTCCTCCATGAAGAAGCTCGTGGCCTGTGTGAGTCAAGACAACTTCTCCCTGTCATCAGAGGGCGAGGAGGAAGAGGAAGATGAGGAGGAAGAGGAAGAGGAGGATGAGGTGGAAGAGGAAGAGGAGGAGCAGATACCGGTGAAGGGCAAGCTGCTGCTGCTGGGGCCCGAGAAGCAGGAGAGTACTGAGGACAATGCCGTGGCCCAGCCAAGCCCCGAGCCCAAGCAGAAGCACTCCTGACCCATCCTGAGGCCTGTCTGGTGATGGGTGCCCATCGCCACTCCAGAGGAAGAGGACATTCAGAAAATAAAGAGTCTCCAAGGAACTCTCCTGGTTTCCCTCTTTCCCTTCATGTGCGTGCTTGGAGAATGGCCACCAAGTGTTGGGCACAGAGCTTGGGGCACTCGAGGCAGACTCTGTGTAGCTCTGACTCAGGCAATCCTCCTGCCTCGTCCTCTGAATGCTGAGATTACAGGCTCAGACACAGGTCTAATTTGCTTCTTCTGCCCCACCCCTCCTTGGGAAGTTAGTTCCTGGCCGCTCAGGAAACTCTTTCCTCCTGCCAAGGCAGCACAACCCCAGGAAACTTCGAAGGCCCAGGTCCTGGTGCTTGCACTGGTAGAGTCTGCAGCCTTCCTGATCCCAGGTAGCCTGATTTCCTTTGACTTTCATCTACCCTGCCACAGAGGCCTCCTCCAGCCAGCCTCCCAACTCTTCTAGGCCCTGGGGACCTGGGTAGTGGAACCCATTGGGAGTCCTCAGGGGAGGTCAAAAGGCCATGATGAGTACACAAGGTCTCCAGGGGTCTGGGGAGGGTTGGGGGGGAACTATGAAAAAGATAGCGCTGAGGCCCTTCAGGTATGGTCCAGCCTCCTTTCCACACAGCGAAGGGCGTGAGCAGAAAGGACAGCCAGGCTGATGTGGAGAGCTTCTCAAGGTGTGTTGCCCAGAACAGGGGTCTAGATGATACAGCTAGATGATGTAGGTGCCACCAGCCACTGCTCCAGAAATTGTGGGCGTATGACTACAGGACCCCAACCTGTGCCTTTAATTAGCAGCACTTGGAATCAACCCAGGGCCTCGTATGTGCCAGGCAAGTGTTCTATCCTGGCTCTTGTGATAGTTCTAGCCTCTCTGAGGATACTTGCTAGTGGAAGTGAAGGCCGGCCCAGCTGGTCTAGCACAACCCATGATTCATAGCCTCCATACATTTCAAATGCTTCTTCCACAAATCAGATCAGTATCGGTGAGTTCCATGCTATGAGAATGGGGACACAGATCTCGGGGGAGGGGAAGCTGCTATCCAGCCTGCATTTGCAGTCACTGGGATGCTTCCAGGCCAAGCTGGCTGAAGAGGGTGAGTGGAATAGGCAGGGCTCAGTAAACCAGGCAGTTTCCACAAGGGGCCCTCTGGTATGTATATGAAGAAATTGACTTAGAGCTTGGCATGCGCCTGAAATCCCAGCACGTGGGAGGCGGTGTCATCCTCAGCTGCACAGTGAGTTCCAGGCCAGCTCACTGAAACTGTCTAAACAACAAAGGATGAGTTAAATGGCTCAGTGGTTAAAGGAACTGGCCGAGTTCAAGGAGAGAAAACATTTCTCAGAGTTTTTACACACACACACACACACACACACACACACACACACAGAGAGAGAGAGAGAGAGAGAGAGGGAGAGACAGAGACAGAGACAGAGAAAGAGAGAGGGAGAGACAGAGAGAGGCACCTGCCAGTAAACGCTGATCACGAGAGGCAGTACCGCAGGAATAGTGCAGTACGGAAGCTGGGGCAGGGCCATGTGGGCACAGGGTGGGCAGTATCTCAGAGCCAGAGCTGAGGAAGCACAAGAGGGCTCTAGTAAAGCTGCTGGATATTGGGAAGAGAACACTGGCGTCAGGGCACACCGGCATCACTACAACCTGACCTTTTCTTTTCCGGGTTGGAACAGAGACTGAACACTGAGTCCCACTGGGAGGCTACCAGGACCCAAGGGCTGGCATCCTAGCTCAAAAGAATAGAAGGGCTCATATCAGACTGAGGGAACCTCACGGCATACCCAAGATCAGACTTCAATGCAAACTAGGCTTTGAACCTGCCACTCAACTTCTCACCTAGGAAGGCTGAGAAGGTGGGTCCATTCTAACCCCTAGTCACTCTGCAAGTCTTTGGTCCAAGATGCTACCCAGTCAGGGCACACTGCCTCACTGCCCACTCACTGGTTATACCTCTTATGGTAGGCCGGGCACCAGGTGACCAGGTGGAAAGGAAGAGAGTTCTGCTGCTCTCAAGGCCTTGAAGCACGGACCAGTTGCACTGACCGCAAACTGGTCCTCACCTAACCTCATGATACAAATTGTTAATATTTCCAATGGTTTATTATCTCCATCCCACAAAGCTGGGAAACTGGGCTATGGAGAGGTGAACGCACAGGGACGAAACAAGAAGCTAGCTGCGAATCTGAGATGTGACCTCAACACAATCTGACCCACAGAGCCCTGAAAACTGCCCCGCCCTGGGGAGAGGGCGATGGGCAGGGCTTTGCCATACCTGTCACCCTCTGTGGCCTGTGCCATCATAATTGGCCAAGCTATATAACTAGGTGCCGTGGGGGCTCCCCAAAGCTGGGCCTGCTGGAAGAAGAGGAGGAGGAGGAGATCTCTGCCCCTCCGGTTGGGGCCTCCCATGGACACCAAGATGCAGAGCCTTTCCTCCACCCACCCTCATCCCTCTCGGTCCCCAGGCCACCCCTGCAGCCAGTGCAGCTGCAGCCACCACTGCCGGAGCTGCAACCAGGCAGGCCACCCGAGCTCCAGTTCCAGCTCCAGCCCCAGCCCGCCATCGAAGCACCCCAAACTAACCATGCACTCCCAGCACTCACCTAAATATCGCAGCGGCTGTTCCAAGAACAGGAAGACCTTGGAAGGGAAGGTGAACAAGAGAAAGGCGGTCAGGAGGCGGAAGCGGACATACCGAACTAAGAGGCGTAGCTCAGGTACCTGCCCAGTGGAATAGTAGAAGTCTCTACAGCCTGGGAGCAGGGAAGAGGGCCACGGGCTGCCCAGGAGGGCACTGGCTTCTAGATGGAGGAGAGAATGGGAATCCTGTATTAATGGCCCCTTTTCCATTTCTAACTTTTAGGGCGAAGATACAAGTAAGACACTCCACGTTGTTCCTGTGTCCATTTGATCCCAAATGGAGACAGCCATCACTAGGGGATGTTGGGAAGATGCTGGCAACAGGAACGTGTCCTTGCAGCAATTTCTATGCAACATGATTAAAGCTTGTACCCTGGAAGACTATCCTTGAGTGAGCAGTTTTGCTTTTTGTTGTTTTTGAAAACTAATAAAGTAGCACTTAATGTGTCACAAGCAATACCAATCAATGGTTACATGTGTGGGTACACGCCACCCTGTCAGACGCGAGACTGGAGGTAAAAAATCAGCCACAGCACTGGCTGAAAGTTCAAGACTTTCATATTCAGTCCCTGGTGTGATTCAGGGAGCAAAATGAGTCTCTTCCCACCCCCATTCCCTTGCTGGAGACCATTGGTGACCATTGGTCCAGGCTCTGTTCTGTCCCTACCACATGGCTGGCTAGTGGCCCTAGTGGACCTGCGATGCTGTTCAGCAACCCTAAGATTGCCCGTGTTTATAGGGCCTTTGCACTGGCCAGTCTTCTCTGCTTCATCTTATCCCACAACCATCCAATCCCTCCCATACGGGGACCATGCACACACCCCCCACTCCCCACCCCCACCCCCTGTCAAGGAGTGTTGGGCAAAGAGCACTTTCAAAATCACACACACTGACCAGGGAGAGCGTTTCCCAGCATTGGAAAGAGAAACCAAAGGTTTGGTTTCTCCTCTCCACCTCTACCTCTACCCCCACTGCTAGAGAAAGGTGGCCTACAGGCCAGACTGTGCCCCACATCTCGCATCCCAACCCAAACTGCAGGCTTATGACCACAGCACAGAGGGGATCTACATCTCTTGCCCCAATTTCTGTAGTACGGGAGGTTGAACCTAAGGTCATAAGCATAGGCAAATGTTCTACCAACAATTCCATCCCCAGTCTACTGTGTTCCCTTTAGACAGCCCAGCCCTGGGAGTATAGAGCAGGCAAAGTCGGAGGAGGGAAGGAAGACAAGCCTGTCACACAGTATGAACACAAAGATTGAGTTCATAGACCAGAGCAGCACCGACTGGGTACATAACCTCAGCATTTATCAAGACCCTACCACAAGTAGCAAAGAAATAGGCGTAAAAAACTGTCTGTGTTGTAAATGGAGCACTCTGCTCTGGGCCCCAGGACGGGAAGCTATGTTGTTCAGCACATTTCTCTTTCCCTCTGGCATCTGGATTTGGTTTCGTTTTGATTTGAATTCACAACTTTTTAGAAACTGAAACCGAGCTGTCTGCAATAGGCTGAGGAAACTGCATCCAGTGACTACCCTGACTCACACTGGACTTTGCAACCAAGTCAGGGTACAAGGGAAAGTGAGACTCAGCTCATTTGCCAGACCCTGGAGTCTCCCTCTTATTTAGGGATGCAACGAGACAATGACTGAATCTCTCGGCTTCTTCGTTAGCAGAGAAACCAGCATGGAGACATTGGGAGTGCGGCAGTCTGCAGTGCAGTGAACGGGGGCAAAGGCTTCGGGGTCAGAACCTTGGCTGTGCGGTGTCCAGGCCATGAAAACATGGCTTAGTTTCTACCACTAAACCAGTAAAGACTGCACCACTGGGCCCGGGAATTAAGATTGGGAAGTGCTTAGCATGCAGTCAGCCTAAGCCAATAGGCTGTGGCTATTGGAAAAGGAAGTGGAAGTATGGTCCCTGAGGAGAAGCTAGCAGGGCAGGGGTGAGGGGATAAGCCCTCTGACTGAGGGAATGAGGGAAGCTCTCACAAGCAGTTGCTGGAGTTGCCAATGTGAGTGGAGGTGATGAGAGGCCTGGGGCCATCTGCTATTTATAGGGTTCCTTCTGCAGAGGCCTGCCAAGGAGACTGGAGGAGTCATCCCAGCCTTGCCACCTTCTTTCAGGCCCACCCACCTCGGCTCCAGCCCTCCTGCTGCCAAGTCCCAAGGGATACTGTACTTGGGTCTAAGTACCAGAGACTTCCCTCCTCCTCTTCAACTTTGCCTGCTCTAGTCTGTACTTCCTGGGCTGAGCACAGTAGCCTGGGAATGGAATTCAGTTGGTAGAAAATTTGCCTATGACCTTAGGTTTAACTTCTAGTACTACAAAAAGAATAATAATAACTGGGCAGGTGATGTAGACCAGTTGGCAGAGGGCTTGTCCAGTATGCACAAGGTCCTGCGTTCAGTTCCCAGCCCTGCATAAACCAATCATGGTGATGCCTGCCTGTAATCCCAAGACCCAGAGCTCGAGCTAGAGGACCAGAAGTTCAAGGCCAGCCTTGACTACAGAGCAAGTTTGAGGCTAGCCTGGGCTATAGGAGGCACTCTATCAATGATAAAGGACAAGGCCACGAGCCTGTGGCTCTAACACACCTCTTGAAGACACTCTCAGAAAGAAGGAAGGAGGAAGAGGAAATGCCTGTCGGGAGTAGTTTGTAACTGGAAAATGGATGCATCCAGAGCGGAGAGAGGCAGTGCAATGCCCAGCACAGCAGCAGAGGGCATGCAATCACATGTCAAGGACATGGCTAGAAGATGCTGAGTGG